GCAAATACTTGATGGGAATTTGGATGACAGTGTAGCCACATTACGTAAAATTGCTCCCGCAGATGAAAGCGTGGTCAGGTCAGCCTCATTTTTAATATTGGAGCAGAAATTCTTTGAGCTTCTAAATCGTGAAAAGGTCATGGAAGCATTGAAGACCCTGAGGACGGAGATCACTCCACTTTGCATTAATAGCAGTAGAATTCGAGAACTTTCTTCCTACATAGTTTCACCTTCTCCTAGACTAGATATTGCAAGGGTGAGGTCTCGGTCAAAGCTTCTAGAGGAATTGCAGAAACTGCTTCCCCCTACAGTAATGATACCTGAAAAGAGGTTGGAGCATCTAGTTGAACAAGCCCTCATCTTACAACGAGAGGCATGCCCATTTCATAATTCATTGGATAAGGAGATGTCATTATATTCAGATCATCGTTGTGGAAAAGATCAGATTCCGTCCAGTACATTACAGGTTAGAAAATTATATGTTTAGTAGATATTTTGACTTGTTAATTAGTAGTGATAGATAGCAGAAGTAGCTTCCTCTATGTTGTTTGCCTGTTCCTAATTAGATCTCTGTTTGTTAGTCTTTCTTTTGTCTGTATTATTTCATGATTATAAATAAATGATAGCTACATCTGTGAAAATTTGTATGCTAATTGGTGGCATCTTGTAAACGGATATGGCTATTGTTGAGGTCCTGTGAATTTTCTTTTTTATTTTCTCAGTGCGTAAAAGTAAAAGAAAGGTTGAGTAGAAAGTGATAAGGACTTGGGTATTTTCGGGTGTTCGGGTCCCATATTGTGTTGTGGGATACTCAGTGGAGTACTTAAGTGTTTGATTCTAGTCCTAACAAATTAAATTTTAAGGGAAGATACCTAAGTGCTTATTAGATCAGTTTAATAAACCAATTAAGTACATGTTGGTGATGTCCAATTATCATAGCTTTTGGAAAGACTTACTTATTCTCGTTTGTCGTTTGAGTTGAGAAAATAATTTCCTGGATAAAATTTTGCATCTGTTTTTCCTACGAGCATCTTTTTCGGTCAAAACAAGGTCATATGTTGTTAATGCCTTGGCTTGATAGTTTGCTTTTGCCCTTGACCTGTCAATAATCCTGCTTCCTATTCTGAGAGTACCAACTTGCTTCCAATTAGAAGACATTAACCTTAGAGTAGAATGTCTTTTTGGTGTAACATCCATCCCCATTTTTACATATGCATTCCCTTTATCTTTCATATAGAAGTCCATGGTTAGTGCTTCTAATAATATTGGAAAATCTAAATTTAAATATACCTGACAACTGATGCACAGCTTGTAGGAACTTAGTGACCAGATTTACATAATAAGAGGTACCTGGGCAAGGTACCATTTCTGTGGGTGTGTGATGCATTTCTCTCTATATATGCAATTACACTATTTACAATTGCAATTTCTACTTAAAAGGCCTTTATCACTTTTTACTCATTAAAATACTCTTCATTTCTTGTAAATGAGATGCATGTATAATCTAATTTATTTCAAAAACCAATCCCCAATTTTTGTACATAGGTTTGATATTTATAATCTAATTTCTTTAAAAGGCCAATCCCCAAAACCAGGGAGGAGAAATGAGACAAGGTACAGAATTTGTCTTCTGGTTTTATCCTTTTGCCATCTATTTACAATGATCATCTTCTCTTAACTTTGTATATGGCATGGATAGTATCTACTTTCTAATGTTATTTTCTTTTCTTGCTAATGTTGCAACAGATATTAGATGCACATGATGATGAAGTCTGGTTTGTACAATTTTCACATAATGGGAAATATTTAGCTTCGGCATCAAATGATCGAACTGCAATAATTTGGGAGGTAATATTTCATAATTTACATTTTCTCTTTTCTACTCTTACGTCCATTTATTTGCTGCTAAATTTGTCTTCAATGCTTGTGTTTGATATAGTCATCATACTGCACATTCAAATCCCTGTTATAATGGTTTCCATCATATATCAGAAACCCCCTATTGATTAAGACACAAATTGCATTCTAACACATAAAATACGGCTTAATGCTATGAAATCAGGTGTCACTTCTTAAATTTTTTTAAATAGGTTGGCATAAATGGTGGACTGACTGTAAAGCACAGATTGACTGGTCACCAGAAACCTGTTTCTTCAGTTTCATGGAGTCCTAATGACCATGAGCTTCTCACATGTGGAGTGGAGGAGGCTATTAGGCGTTGGGATGTCTCCACTGGCAAATGCATCCAACTTTATGAAAAAGCTGGTACTGGCCTAGTTTCTTGTACGTGGTTCCCTTGTGGGAAATATATACTTTGTGGTTTCAGTGACAAGAGCATTTGCATGTGGGAATTGGATGGGAAAGAAGTGGAGTCTTGGAAAGGACAAAAGACCCTTAAGATATCTGATTTGGAAATCATGGATAACGGGAAAGAGATTCTAAGTATCTGTAAACCCAATTCTGTACTGTTGTTCAATAGAGAAACAAAGGATGAGAGATTTATTGAAGAGTATCAACCAATAACGGCTTTTTCCTTATCGAAGGATAACAAATTCTTGTTGGTTAATCTTTTGAATCAAGAAATACATCTATGGAACATTGAAGGCGATCCTAGGCTTGTTGGCAAGTACAAAGGCCATAGGCGTACCCGATTTATTATCAGATCTTGCTTCGGTGGCCTTAAGCAAGCTTTTATTGCTAGTGGAAGTGAGGATTCACAGGTATGAATACTTAATCATTTATCAAAACGGAAAAGTATTTGTAAAGTAGACTTTTTCCCATTTGCAAATTGAAAGGCTTTGATGCTTGTAAATTTCTTCTATAGTCAAAGAATAATTGTTTTTAATTTTTAATTCTGTGTTTTATTATAATAATTTGGTGCATGTCTAGTGTAACTTAAATTCTAGGAAATAATCACATAATTTTCAGAAGTGCTCTAAAAAAAGTGAAAAATAAATCTTCCTGGAAAGGCTCATTAAAATATTGGCACAAGAGACCCATGGAATGGTGCTTGTTGTTCGACCGATATATTGGACATCTTTATAATATTAGTTGAATGAATTCAACTACTATTATTGTAATGGTAAAGTACTGCTGTCTTGGTCTTCCTCTTTGTATCGTTCTTGGCCTTCAGTTTGTCATTATAGCACCAAAGAAAATCTATATTTACTAGTTTTTAGTTGTGGTGTTTAGTAGATTTTCCATGAGATGCTAACCTTCTTTCTTTTTTGGATGTGAAACAATTTTTATGCAGAATGTAGGACCCCTGCAATGTTATTAACACTATTTTCCCAGCCTCTTATGACAGTGAGTTGTATTGGATAAATTTGGACAAGTATTAAATTGAAGTTGGGTGGGTGTATGTTTGTAGGTTTACATATGGCACAGAAGCTCAGGGGAACTAATAGAAGCATTGCCTGGTCATTCAGGATCTGTAAATTGTGTGAGCTGGAACCCAGCAAATCCCCACATGTTAGCCTCGGCTAGCGATGACCGGACAATTCGGATATGGGGCCTAAATTCTCTGCACAACAACTACCAAAATGTTCCCAGCAATGGCGTCCACCATTACTGCAATGGGGGATCTTAGATCACCAACTCATTCCAATTGATTTCTCTCTTTCTTTTCTCTCATCATTGCAATTCTGTAAATACCATTTCTGTTACCCCAAGTGGACCATTCATGTCAAACATGCACGTTACTTCTCGTATATCTCATATTTCATAACGCTTTCCATCTTTTTCTTCTTCTTCCAAGCAATTTAGGGAAATGGGAAGGGGGAGTTCTCAGGGTGTACGGAAGAACCCTCAAACGAATATTCCCTACTTAATTAAATTCATAAATCGTGACTATTTTTTTAGTTTTACAACATTTACCAAATTCCCCTTCTCTAGCCAAGAATCCGTGTTATTCTTTTTCTCTGTTTTCTTTTACGAGGTGATATTAGTTTGCTTTACTTGTCATATTTCCTTCACTTTCGTGTCAGACAATCCTTCTGGCGATCTGTCCTATTGTTTTTCATGGGAAACAAACAACGCACAAGTCGTGAATTTTACGCAAAAAGCATTTGGTTTTTAAAATTGCAATGTAAAACTTTCTTTGCATTAACCATCATCACCCACATTCTTAAATACAAACAATGGACAAGAGAATCCCTAAACATGACAAATAATGTAGATGTCTATGATATGGTTTTGGGAATAAAATGAAGATGTTTTGGCACATAAGAACCATTTCAATACTATAAATGATACTTGCAATAATAGTATATCTTTATTTTTCTTATAGTTGCTCATATAAGTCTGACTTGTTGCGTTGTTGATTTTTAATAAGTACACTGTGAGCGCACGGTTCTTGTTGATAAGTTTTTTTTTTTTTTTAATTTGAAAATTACATGTCAAAGAAAGTAATATTAGACTTTGGTATGTTTCAATAGTAATATTAAACTGACAAGAAATTTTTATCTTTATATAAAACAATTAGAAGGAATTTGATTTTTTTTAAGGCTTTTAGGTTTGGGTCATTCTAAATGAAAAATAAATATTATAAGATATTTATTTTCATTTGCAAATCCACATAAACGAATTTCAATCAATTGAAACCTAAGGGATAAAGGGACATTGTTAAGAAATCATTGTTAATCTCAAATTACCTATTCTTAATACCATAGGTTAAGTATAGTCGTTCTGTCAATTTAAAACATTTTACTCGATTATTTCCAATTTAGAATAAAATAGTTGCAAAAGGAACAAATATACAAAAAAGAAAAATATATTTAACTAAACGGAACAACAGAGAAGGAAACAATAGACGTAAGAGGTAATCTTCTGAATGCTAAGACTTTGAATCTAGGTCACCGTGCACATTATTTAATTGAAAATTAAATATTAATGTAGCGAAATATTACAATTTATTTAAAAAGACTAATATCCTTAACATATAGACTATTCCATTTATAAGACCTAAAAATGAATTCATAAACATTATTTATTGTATACACATAGGTTTAGAGATCGAAACCTGGCATGCAAGACATTATTTAAGCTGTAACAATTTAAATTTTGAGAAAATCAGCGACAGAAACTGAGACAGAAAACGCATATACAATAGGAGCTGCGCTTGCGACAACTTCGTCACTTGGATTCTTTCATTGGAAACGATGACCAACAACAGAGAGAAGAAAGGAGAGGCACTTCACCGCCAAAGCCCCAAAGTTGATGAAGTCACCAGGATTCGCATTTCCCAGATTCTGGAACAGTTCCGAGCTTCCAAAGATGAAGGTTACCCTCCAACATTCAATGTTCTTCCTTTATTTATTTTCTGCGACTGTTTCACACTTTGATGACGAGGAATGTGACACCACCGTTGTCGTTGTTCATTCCTCTTTCCCGAATGTTGCCTCTGAGTGATTGGGTGTTTTGTTTCGATTGGATATTTGCACGTTTTTGTTGTTGTGAAGTTTGAGTTGGGTAGTTCGTGACCCACTTGAAGTCTGTGTTGGAGGGATGATGACTGCATGGGTGTATCCACTGATGAAATCTGGTTTTGTTTTGTTTTTCTACAGTGTACAAGTTTGATGCTGGTTTGTCCAACCAAGAGCGTGCTTTGGTGCATCAAATGTCCCAGAAAATGGGGTTTAGATCTAAAAGTTCTGGGTGAGTGTTACATGTTCAATTGCTCTTTTAAATCTGTAAGAATTACGGTCACAATTGTTGAATGGAATAGTTGGTAATGGAATTCTTTTGATTGGGTGTTTGCTGTTTGCATATTGTGTTGTTGATATTGGAGCTGTGTTTTGCGTAGGCTTGGGAAGGACCGGAGAGTGTCCGTTCAAAAAATTAAAAAAAAGTCTGACACAGATAATGGGTTTGCAAATATTCCTCGTTTCACATTTTCTGAAGAGGCGAAGTGGGTGCTGGGTGATTTATTTGCTCATTATCCTCCTGGTGATGGAGACTTGTGGGAGATGGTTGGAGAAAATAGTGACAGTACTGCTGATAAAACAAAACAGAAGCAGGATGATATTTTCAGCAGGCCCTCGATGAGCAAAACTGAAATTGCTAGGAGATTGGAAGCTCTTTCTTCTAGAATTAACAAAGTCTCTAACTTGAAACAGGTTAATTTTCTCTCCCTCTCCTTTCAGCTTGAGAAATCTACATGTATGACTTTTGTTGGAAAACCTATATGAATTTTATTGTTTAGAGTTGACTTTGAGCTATCAGAACTGAATATTATTTCGATAGTAATAAAATGGTGCAACAGCTAGCAGTGAGTGGGTTTACATATTCTTTGGATTTGTACTTAGGAACTAATTTAGTTTGACATAATTGGATTGTAAGGTGAGAACTACCCATGCCTTACAAGCATTACTCATGTGATGTCTGTAGCCAATGTCAGATTTAAACCCACCAAGAGTCAACATTTTGGTAGCTCTACGCTATGATGCTTTGTTCAGTCATTTTGTGTCAGCTCCATTGTTGGGAGTCCTTTCTGATAATGAAAAAAGAAGTGAGGCAATGCAGGTGGCCTAACAATGGATTTATGACAGTCTTTGACATCATCTTAAAATTTGGGTTTAGGATCTAACTGAACACCTGTAAATTTCGGTGAGGATTTGTCTTAATTAGAGGTATCACGTGTTAATCTTATTTCACGACATTTTCCCTCAAGCTGGTGAATAGATACATATCATTCACAATTTGCTAGTAAGATCTTGAAATGACTGTGTTGGATGACTATTGGTTAATAGATCAACCAATAGAAACCCTAAAGGGACTTATTTATTAAGTTTCGGTCCTTCTCTACTTGTTATGTCCTGTCATGACGAGTAATGTTGTGTGCCATACTAATGCTGATTTAGTGTCACAAAATGGTTTGATTGGAGTTTCATTTTTTTCCTGAGTTCTGAAGGTACAATTTTCATCCATAATAGTTCACAATAAAAATTTAATGTAATAATAATATTGAGAAAATTTTAATATTTACATGTACTTAAATAGGTTGAACTATTCCCACAAAAGACTTTTGAATGACATAAAGTCTGAACTTTTGAACAATAGTCTTTTATGAAAGCCTTGGCCTCAACTTGCCTGATGTCCCAACAGGTACTTGACCTATTTTCTCCCCTTTTTTGAGAAAAAGGGTGGAAGAAAATCATCTGTTAATCTTACAACACAACATAATGATGTTTTTCTATTATTCCTCTCGCACTGTATGTATTGCATTTGAAAAGGAATAGTCTTGTTATCAATTCTTTTGTTTGGTTTCCGTTCTTGCAGATCATTGAAGATAGATCTAAGCTTCCAATTGCATCTTTCAAGGATGTAATAACATCAACTGTTGAATCTCACCAGGTTAATTTAAAAAATTTCTTTGTAAATTTGCCTTTGGATATGCATCTACTTGTAGCTTGGGTGCTGATTGCACTATAATTGAGATTTATGGTTCACATTGACATGTTGAATATATCAAATAACATAGTTGAGTTAGATTTTAGTTTTTTAACTGCATTTCTACACATCAGTTAAATTTAGTTTGCATCTTAGATTTTTGCATGTGTTTTGATCTTAATATTCCTTCCATGTGTTTCAAAGCAGGTAGTTCTCATATCTGGTGAAACTGGTTGTGGAAAGACTACGCAGGTTACCAACTCTTTGCCTTGTCTTTATTATGGTACAGCTACATTTACATGTAATTTGTTGCGACTGTTTCTAGATAATAATCTTTTGGTCATGTATTGATGTTTTTATGATTGGTGCTTTTAATGTGTATGTTGTGAATTGTGATACAAATTTGCATCAATATTTCCATTTTTGCGTTAATGCAGTTGCTTTTTTATCCTCAATTTTAACTAATTGTCTCAAGCTTTGATAATTGTGGACACACTGATAATTACTTGATGCTTTGTGATTTTGGGTTTCACCCATCTGTAATTCCATGATTGTACATGGACCAAGGTCTTTTAACAATCTGTGCTTTGTATTTATCTTTCTCTTTTTTTGTTGTCCTGTTTTAACTTTCTGAACATTATTCAGGTTCCACAATTTATTTTGGATCATATGTGGGGTAAGGGAGAGGTATGTAAAATAGTTTGTACTCAGCCTCGGCGGATCTCTGCAACTTCAGGTGAGCAACACTTCTGGACTTCGGACCTAATTTTTAATCTTTATTTTCAAGTCTCGATTGAAATCTGTTTCCTTCTGCTGTTTCTATGTATAGTTTCTGAGAGAATCTCCACTGAGAGAGTAGAGACTATTGGAGAAAATGTGGGATATAAGGTAATTTTATTGATATATCTTTGGTGTAGTAATGGTACTGTGACACTTTATTTGGATTTATTTTGTATGGAAATATTTATGTGAATGTTGACCTCTGTTATCATAATCAAACCAGTTTTTGCCATTTGTGTATTACACTCATGATGCACCTTGTTTTATCTGTACGAAGTAGGAAAATCTACAGGATGTCATCAGTAGGGAAGTATGAGTTTTCTTGTTACTGTCTCAATCAACAGATATCTTTTCTGTTTTCCAATATCCCTGTCTTTCTTACATAGAATTATACCTTTTAAGGCTACTGGTTGCCTTGCTTCTTAGCGAACATTACTAGCTTTTTTAATGGTTTACATCTCATGAACATAGAATTCTATCTTACATTTTCAACCAAAAATCCAGATACGGTTAGAAAGCAGAGGGGGAAGGCAATCATCAATTGTGCTATGTACCACTGGAGTGCTACTAAGGGTGTTGGTTTCCAAAGGTTACCATTCGTCTAAGATAGGGCACATGAAGGATGACGTTTCTGGAATCACTCACATAATTATGGTACTTCCTGTAAATTACTTTATATCTTCAGCAAGAGCATAAACATGTGGTACTTAGTGTTTGGTAAATACTTCACGCTTTTATTCTTCCATATCACTTTTTCATTTATTGAACTATTTGCATGGTCAAAAAAATTTTGTTATTAGGCATGACATGTAAGTTCTTAGATAAATGGTTTAATTGAAAATTTGAACTGACTGGGAAAATCTGTTAGAATATGAAACATTGTTTTTGAAATTGTTGTAAAATTAGCTGTTTGGTTGGAGAAATGTGTTTTGTTTTGAATTTCGGTTTTCACTTTTAATGAGAAAAATGTCACATTGCTTTCACTTAGTTTTCTGCTTTCATAACTTTGTATTTGAACCGTGAAAACAGAAAATAATAAAAAGTGGTTTTCACTGTTTCTGTACAAAGTTTTGATGGAAAAACTAAAACTATTTGTTCTTATAAGTGTTACAATTTTTTTTTTTTAAACCAAAAGTCTGTTTTGCCAAGCTTCGTAGTGCTTTTATAGTAAATTGGCTTGAACTTTGAAGAATTTCCCTTTTGTTTGAGTGAAGTGACTATCCCACTACTCATCAATGATATTGTGACCATGATTGCCATTATATGGCTGGCAGTAAATGGTGAAAGCAATGTTATTAGACTTAACTGGCCAGCAATTTGGTTAATACTCAGTCATTGGGTCACTGGTACAATCACATGAACTAATATATATTTAAAATTTTTAAAAGCATTTATAATCTATAATTTCTTATTTTGAAAGATGGAAAAATAAATTCATACTATACTATTCTTTTAAAAATCACAAAAATAAAAAAACGCATGAACACACTGGTTCACTTAGAAACCCTCAAGGTCATTGGTTAATTTGGGCTGGTTGGTCAACTCACCTGTTAGCCTGAAAAGCCATCCGAGTCATGCCAGGCCACATTGATTTTATAACATCTCCAATCCAACAATTAATATATTTCGGTTATATCACCACTTCCTAGTCGGATTTTGAACCACCTGCCCAAACACATTTTTATTGTAACATTGGGTGAAAGTATTAAAAAACTTGATATTGCTTAATTACTTTTAAAACTAGAAAAGTTATCACTGGTTTAATGATTGCATATTGCTAGAAGTTTAGTATGAAAAATTACAAAGCAGTTACTAAATAGTGACTGTAACTACATGAACTAGATCAGACTTTAAAATAAATGGTTTTCAGACGGTCTCTTCAGCAATGGGTATCCACAAATTGCCGTTATAGATATTATACTCTGAGGGAAAATGAACTTTGAAACTTTCATGTTATTCTCTTAAAGACTTTGAGAGGCGTCCGAAGTAAATTCAAATGTCTCCATATATTATATCTTCTAAATCCTGGCATGTGATTGATGTTCTGCACATACTTTCCTTGGAAAGTATGCCTTGGCATACATAAAGCATATCCTGTGCATACTATCCTTGCAAAGTAGGCATTGCGAACTAAGTGACATTCATTTTTGTTCAGGATGAAATTCATGAAAGGGATCGATACTCTGACTTCATGTTGGCAATCATCAGGTATACCATTAAGAAGAACCTACTGGCCTCTACTCTCTATTGTGACATAGTTAATACAAATGTATAAATGCATGTTGCATAAGTGAGGGGGGAAATTGGGATGTATAGGTTAAGCTTGTTTTTATGATATTCTGCACCTAATAGCATTAGGCTTTTTGGGTAGAGTTGAGTTGGTCCGTAATGAGCAAAAATGCCTTTTTCTAAAAGGTATGTGGCAATAACTTCCCTGTTAGTTTAATCTTCCCTCTCAGAGAAGAAAGATAACGAAGAAGATTACTTGCCTAAGGAGTCTGTCTTGTTTTTGAACTGATATCTCTGATTTTTGTTAACCTAAATGCAGAGACATGCTCCCTTCATATCCTCAACTACGTCTGGTCAGTTCAAATTTATTACATCTTATCATATTTTATCTCTATTATCCACCTCCGGTCAAGTGCTTATTTAGTTAATAATTATGTTATTTTCCATTTTTAACCTTCTGGTGCTCTAATATTACAGATATTAATGAGTGCCACCATTGATGCTGCGAGATTTTCTCAATACTTTGGGGGCTGCCCAATCATCAGTGTTCCGGGATTCACTTATCCGGTAGTTATATTGTAGCTGTAATTAGCTAATACTCTGTCACATGTTACTTACTACAATGTCTACCCAACCTTTCTTCAGGTCAAAACTTTCTATTTGGAGGATGTACTTTCTATTGTAAAATCTAAGAAAGATAATCATCTTGATAGTACCACATGTAGTACTTCAATAAACACCAGGGAGCTAAGTGAAGAAGAGAAGCTTTCTATGGATGAAGCTATTAATTTGGCTTGGTCTAATGATGAATGGGACATGCTGTTAGAGTTGGTTTCTTCTGAAGGAACCCCAGAACTCTTTAATTACCAACATTCTTTAACTGGCATTACTCCACTAATTGTGTTTGCTGGGAAGGGTAGAGTGGGTGATATGTGCATGCTCTTATCTTGTGGAGCAGATTGCCATTTAAAGGCCCAGGATGGAATGACTGCACTGGAGATCGCTGAAAGGCAAAACCAACCAGAAGCAGCTGAAATATTGAAGAAGCACTTACACAATGATTTTTCCAACTCCACAGAAGAGAATAAGCTACTTGATAAATACCTGTCAACGGTCAACCCAGAACTTGTTGATGTTGTTTTGATAGAACAGTTGATAAGAAAAATATGCATTGATTCAACAGATGGAGGGATCCTTGTTTTTCTTCCAGGCTGGGATGAAATAAATAGAACACGTGAGAAATTGTTTGCATCATCTTTTTTCAAGAATTCCTCAAGGTTTATGCTCATATCTCTACATTCAATGGTTCCAAGCGTGGAACAAAAAAAGGTTTTTAGGCACCCACCTCATGGGTGCCGCAAAATTGTACTATCAACAAATATTGCTGAAACAGCTATCACCATTGATGATATAGTGTATGTCATAGACACTGGACGAATGAAGGAAAAAAGTTATGATCCTTATAACAATGTGTCAACTCTTCAGTCATCTTGGATTTCAAAAGCAAGTGCTAAGCAGCGAGAGGGACGTGCTGGCCGCTGTCAACCCGGAATATGCTATCATCTATTCTCAAGGACTCGAGCAGCTTCCTTACCAGATTTTCAGATTCCAGAAATTAGAAGAATACCTATTGAGGAGCTTTGTCTGCAGGTATTCCATCTTTCCTGATTGGTGACTCCAAATCTTGGTGCTTGTTGCTGAATGATAAAATGGTAAAATGTTCTCTGGTGTCCCCCATAGAGTGTAAACATGAAAATTTAGCAAATGGAAAAAATTAGTCAATTCGTAATGCTAAATTCAAACTCATGTTTTTTTTTTAATGAATTAATCAGTGCAAAATGTGGTTAATTAGTGGTTTGTGCGAAGGAAACAACTATCTTCTAAGGTTTTTGGAAGAGAAAATAGTGAAGGGTCTCGTTGCATTGCTTGATGAAATTGGTGTCTATGATATTCTGTGTCTGAGGTTAAGGTTGAAAAGATGTCTCTAGTTTCGAAAGCGTGTTATGGTTGAAAAGATGCCTCTAATTTTGAAAGCGTTTTGATGCTGCGTAGTATATGTGATTTGGTTGTTACTTGTTAGATTAGATAAAGCAGCTACACTCATTTACTGAAGGTCAAGTAGTACACCAACTCATTATTTCTGGTTTGAGAATCAGAAAGTACACAAACATATTTATATAGGTTTGTGTTACCAGTTTCATCTTGTACAAATTTAAATTACTTTTGAAAGTACACAAAAACCCTCCGAAGGGTATTTTTTTTTTTCTTGTGTTGTACTAGCAAGGTATCAATGGCATGAAAATGTACTGGACAAAAAAGTTGCCCTCACGTTAGATTTGGTTCTTTCTCTCTATCTCTCTCTATTGTGACAGGTGAAGTTGCTAGATCCAAATTGCAAAGTAGAAGAATTTCTGGGCAAGACGCTAGATCCTCCAGTTTTTGAGTCCATACGCAATGCTATTATAATTCTTCAAGAGATTGGGGCATTTTCAAGTGATGAAAAACTCACCAAACTAGGGGAGAAGCTTGGTTCTCTTCCTGTTCACCCATCAATCTGCAGGATGCTTTTTTTTGCTATATTGATGAACTGCCTTGAGCCAGCTTTAACTCTTGCTTGTGCATCCGAGTATAGAGATCCGTTTACACTTCCAATGTTACCTGAAGAGAAAAAGAGAGCCACAGCTGCCAAATCTGAGCTTGCTTCTTTATATGGGGGTTGCGGTGATCAGTTTGCTGTATTGGCTGCATTCGAATGCTGGAATAACTCAAAGAAAATGGGTCTAGAAGCACGGTTTTGTTCTCAGTATTTTGTGTCATCAGGTGCCATGCACATGTTATCTGGCATGCGCAGGCAACTTCAAGCGGAACTAATTCGAAATGGGTTTATCCATGAAGATGCTTCAAGTTACAGTGTGAATGCATATGACCCTGGTGTACTCCATGCTGTTTTGGTAGCAGGACTATATCCAATGGTCGGGAGATTTATTCCAAATAAAATTGGGAAAAGATTTATAGTTGAAACAGCAGGTGGTGATAAAGTTCGGTTGCACAATCATTCTACAAATTTCAAGTTGTCATTCATGAAAAATTTAGATCACACTTTAATTGTGTATGATGAGATTACTCGTAGTGACGTGGGTATGAACATAAGGAACTGCACAGTTGTTGGACAACTTCCACTTTTGCTGCTTTCGACAGAGATTGCTGTTGCTCCAACCGATGAAAATGACGACGACGAGGATGATGCAGAAGGGAGTGAAGATGAAGTTGGAAGTGAAGATGGGATGGAACTTGATGATAAATCTAGTGGAGGCCGTGAGGATAAGTTGATGTCTTCTCCTGATAACAGGGTTAAAGTAATCATGGACCGTTGGCTTTATTTTCGTTCAACAGCAATCGATGTTGCTCAGCTATACTGCTTGAGAGAGAGACTATCAGCAGCAATTTTATACAAAGTAAATAACCAAATCGTTTTTCTCTTCTGTGATTTATCTGTCATTTCTATTAAAATAACATTCTTGACAAATTAATTTACATTCTTTAGGTGACATATCCAAGGAATGATCTTCCTCCAATCATGGCGGCTTCTATGGATGCTATAGCTTGTATTTTGTCTTGTGATGGGTGCATTGGTATGCCATCAATTTCAGAAGGTGTGGACTCATTAACCACTATGGTAAATGCAACAACTTTAGGCAGGTCAGGATCTAGGCGATTTGGTAAGAGACCAAAAGGATCACTTGCAGAGCTTATTAATTATGATGGTCGCCAAAACTCTGGGCCTTCTAAAGCCTAGTTGATTGAAAGTTCAGTGTTGGCAGAAGCTTATATCGAATACAGAAATCCTAACTGTGAAAATTGAAACTATGTTTAGCTTATATTGAGGACAAATCCTGAAGATGAATGCGATGAAGTGTCATAAGAAAAATCTTGGTTGGCGGATGTGTTTGTGATGGGTTCCTGACTCAGTTGAAGTTTGGGTGGTTCTCTAGTTCCCTCGCTTTGTTGTATAACCAGTCAAATTTTGTAAATACCAGCCATCCTCAACACTAGTCAAATCCTAGTGTGAACCTTTAGCATGAGTAGAATTTAGAATAGCTAATGAAATTATTTATTACAAAATCAAATGAGGAATGAAATTTGTGTGCTGTATGCTTTGCAATTGGCAATTCTAGCCCAAATATATAAAGCATTTTCTGCATCTTTTCTGGTAAAACTGCTCTGCTGCTCATACTAAAATCTAAAATTATAATATATACTTTCCACAGTGGGAGTCAGGAATCAGCCTCTTCAGTTCTCTGCTGTTCCACTTTTCTGCACAACGAAGAGAGTGATACACACAGAAACTGCATCATGTTACATCCTCTCAATTTCACTGCCAGTTTATATGCATTGCAATTTGACTACAAATCTCGTACATAAAAAATCTTGTTTAAAAAATTTTGATCACTCACGTGCGTCAGCATCAAGGCATGCAAATTATTTGCTAATAGAGTGTTTTAGAAACGGAAATGTGAGTGAATTTGATAATTCAATTGATTGTTGGAATTATTTTGAATTAGTTAATTTACTACTGGTTAATTTCGATTCAAAATTTAAACTAAACTAAACTAATTATCATCATTTTATTTATTGGATTAATTTTTCACTCAATCCAATATTTTTTTTTTCAATTTTACTTAATATTTGTATTTATTCTAAATTTTTATAATCCTGTATAACACCATATCTTTCAAGATATATTTTGATTTTTTTTATTATAGTTTAAGTTAATAATATTGTTTTGACATCAAATTATCATATTATTAACATTAATAATCAAGAAGTATTATTTTCTTTATAATTTGGAACTCCTTTGTCATTTTATGAAGATTAAAAAAGAAAAATATATTATAAGAAATATTAGGTACAATATAATAAATTATTAAAATATAGAAAATAATTTTATCAAACATTAATATAAAATTAAATATTATATTAATAATTAAAATAAGGGTTAATTATTTTCTTTTTCAATTAAACCACAGTTTTCTTTTTCAATTAAACCACAGGACAATTTTGTTAATATAATTCACCATTACATAAAATTTCTTATTAATTTTTTTAAAGAAATGTTAATATGATTCTCCATTATATAAAAAAAAATAATTAATATTATTGAGCAAGGAAGATTAGATTAATATATTTTTTACTAATGGGAAGCTTAATAAAATCAAAGTTTAATATGATGTCACATTTTAACCCTTAAAATAAAGTTTAAAAATATAATAGATTTTTACAATATGATAATTTGAAGCAAACCAATCTTATTAGAGGTAATTCATAACCTAATGATTAGAAATTTGTTGAAGAGTATTGAAGTTTATAATTTGAGTAGGTGTGAGAAATGCTTAACCAAGTCAACTAATTACAACCAAACAATCTCAGACCAAATGTGGGTTAGTTGTCCATCACTTTAACTGAACAAAATTGAGTATCATGAGATTATAACTATAAAAACATCATATATATATATATATATATATATATATATATATATATATATCAATAGTTAAATTAAAACTAAAATTTTAAAAAACATAATTATCAAAATGAAAACTTGTAATAAATAACTCATAATAAAAAAATGATTAAAGAAAATATAACAATTAATATTTTATTTTACTTTATAAACGGAACTTTTATACAAAAATGTTGTAAAAAAGAGAAAAAATAAATTAGTTATTGCAAGAACTTAAAATATATAAGACATTTTTCCTATATATATATATAATATTTTTTTACTTGAAAAAGAGTAAAAGTTTATTTATGAAAGTAATATTTCAATATGAAGTAAAAATAATAATACTTCTTGTTTTCTTCCGAAGTAAATGAAACACATGCTAAATGAAAGAAAAAATAATGAATTTATATTTTACCATTGAAAAAAGAATGAACTTGACACACGTGAGAAAAGAATATAAGAAAAAAATATCTCAATTTTCTTTTTATATACATTTAACATCTTTTATTTATTTTTCATTTTAATTAATATAATATTTATTAAAATTAAATAACTCATGCTATAAAAATAAATTAAAAAGCTTTCTAATTTAATTATCATTGTTATATCATTATTATATAAATAAGTAATTGCAAAAAATTGAGGAGCAACCACATCCTACCCTGTAATCCTATGCACTAATTGATAACATATATTACTTGTAACTTGGTTATGTCTTAAGTTTTGTTTGCCACAAACTATTTTCACAAAAGATAACCTTATCAAATAGGAAATATTGATTGTAAAATTTAATAAAATAGTTTAAGATAAGCATGAAGAGTGCAATTATTAAGAAGCTAGAATAAAAATTTGACCTAGCTTGCTTGTTGGATTGAAAGCGATGGTGGTTCTTAAAAGGATCAATCTTATTACTTTCTCTCAATGCTACCATCAAACTCACAAACTTGACTTTGTACAACCACTTGCAGGCCAATGTTTAATAGAAATAATATTTTGATATACACAAATTTTTATAATCATTCAATACTATTTTTCTTATTCTTTTTTAAATACAAAATTTTATTTTTTTATAACTATTTTATCTTTATAACTCGTATTAAATGAATGTAAATATATGTCATTTTAATATTATGTTTTGTTAAAAGGTAGATAGACTGGTAATAGTCAAAATACCATTATTTTCAAGATTATGATTATTATCTATACTTAATGTTGCAATAAATTGATCATGAGTGGATGGACTCGACTTTTTCTGGTGCAAGTTCACACTTTTCAGGTTCACCAATGTCTTGTTGAGGTCTCATGTTTTTGGTTTCTGTCATTGGTTCCATATTCATTTCATGAGCAATTGTCCCACCAAGATATCCAATGATTTTGATGCAATCGCACATAATTCATTTATCCTTCATTTATTCTTAGTTTTGTGTGAATACTCTATTGTGATTATTTTACTTGAGTTCAAATTATATATTTGTGATGAAATATGCACATGTAAGAGTAGAAGTGTCTTTTTAAATAATATATACAAACAAGAATATATAACTAATTATCACTTTTGTTTTTCTAGTACCATGTTTCAAATATCTCACATTTCTGAAATAACAAAAATAATAAAATAAAATAATATTTTTGTCAAATATTTTCGTCAACAATATATCCAACAATCAATTTCATCAATAATTTATAATTCCTATTATTAATAGATTGTTCTATAAATAAAATAAACCATTAACTCCTTGTCGAGTTTGATAAAAATAAATTATTAAAGAAGAGTGAAAAGAAAAAGATATGAAAAAGAGAGGAACATAAGAAGAGAAGAGGAAGAGAATGATCGCAATAACGACGACAAAGGCACAACGATAACAATAGTTATGATCGGAGTTGGAGGAAAAAGTGAAAGAGAAGAAAGATGAAGAGAAAGAGAATAAAAAAGAGTCAAACATAGAGATAATGATAACACAATGACAACAAGTTATCATTATTTTAACGAGAAAGAGAAAAAAAATAAGAATAAGATTTACTCGTAATATTTATTTACGTATTTTATTAATGAATTTGCAGTTGTCAATAATTATCAACAAATTTATTGATGAAAATTTTTATAAATTATTACTTTACTAATAAAATTTTGGTTATCGATAAACTTGAATTATTATTCGATTTTTCTTATTACTATCAAATAAAAATTCATAAGTAATTTAAAATTTTCTTTTAGTATTAATAACTATCAGAACCCATTTAAAACCATTAAAAAACCCCTGCACAGTGGATTACATGTGTCAAGGAAGAGAGCTGAAAATCAGAGAGTGGAAAATAGGTGGCAGCAGGAGGTTGGCCGTTCGCTAATGACGGTATGAGTAAAATTCTAGGTTTTCAAAAGTTCACGCCACTTCTGCATGCACCCTTCTTCCCCAAAGTTCTAAACTTTCATTTTCTCCTCCTTCTCTCTAAGATTTCTTCATCCTCCCTCTACAAAATCTTACTATTTTCTTCCTCCGATCATCAAACAAACCACACCTGAGTACTCCCGGCGTCGAGGGCGTTCGTTTGAACCGATCAGTTTTTTATTTCGAGCTGGTAAGTTCATCTCTCCCTCAGCCGTGTGTTTTCTGTCGCATTCAAACCCAGATTTTTGGTTGCATGAGTTGATCCTCTCATTCTGAGTATTTCTGTTCTTGTGTTTGATTAGTTTCTTAAGGCGTGACTGTAAAACGCTAAGGTCTCTAGTAGAGGCGAACCATATGCTGCACTTGTGAACGTTCGGTTACGCTTAGAGGTAAGGGAAGCTTATATAATTTGATTTTTATGTTCGTTTTTATGTTCGTTTTGAATGGATGCATGTTCGTTGAATTGCTGAGTGAATATGATTGTTGCTATGTTTTGACTGTATGAAGTATGAAGGTTTACTATGATATGGATGTATGAATTTATGGAGATAGATGTTGAGAAATGAAGTGATATAAAGAATTATAAGTATGAAATTCCATATGAAAATTTATGTTCGTCACTGAATGGTCTTTGACCGTTCGGTTTTCTTGTGGACTCGGTTGGAACTGGATTCTGTCATTTGGAGAGAATTCCAGTTGAGGACCGAGCGTTTTCATTTTGGTTATAAACTCAGTATATCTATATGTATTTGTATATTTCGTTCATTCTTGAACACTAGTTAAATGGTATCTTATATTTATCAATCCTTTATTCTATATGTTTAGTAGTGCTCAGTCTTACACCAAGTGCTCGTACTAAGTAGTGTTCGGTCTTACACCAAGTGCTCGTACTAAGTGGTGCTCGGTCTTAAACCAAGCGCTCGACCTTGATTCTGTAATTTAATTTTTAAATAAGAGCATTCGGCCAAAACCAATAGTGTTCGGTCTCTACAGTGCTCGGTCTTCGATTGACACTCGTTCTCCTTGATGTTAAACTCATAAATAAGCTAAGTATTTATAACATTCGGTTTCTTCATATAATTCTGTCACTTGTTATTATTCGATGTCCTACAGTATCAGTTTCTATGGTGTTCGACTTAGAGTCTTAGTACTCGGCCTAGGCTTATTGGCGTTCGGTCTAAACTCTCATGAGTCAGTTCATTAAATTGGCTCACCTTGTAAATAGCGTTCGATTCTATTAGTTTTTGAGAAATATTAT